GGAGGTAGTACAAAATAACCCAATCTTAAATGGTGTGCATGTGACATCTTAATATTCAACGATATTTTTTCTAAATGAATGTGAGTTGAAATGGGACTCACACATAGCCCCGGTTTCAAGACTAGTCCGAATCGTGAGTAGGGTGTTCTTTGGACCGGACCGGACCGGTACCAAAATTAGTGGTTCAAGGATGTGAAAAGAGGTCCCGATCTTAATTTGGAGCCAGGACCAATGGCCTGCTATGGTTACAGTCCTTTTTGCATTTCAACCAGTGGGAATCATGTCAAAAAATGTCTAAACCTAGGCTTACCTAGCTATAATGTAAAAATGTGTAAATGAGTCTATATACTATATCAGGATTCCTTTATTCTCTGAGTTGAGAGTACTCGAGGCGAAAGAGAGTAGAATTGTGTGCTGATCTGTCGTCGTCTGGTGAGTAGACCGATGTCGTCACCGAAGTGCCTCACCCGGATTCCCAGTCCCCCACTCCTCTCAATGAAAGCACCAAATGATAGATTATTTATCTAGAGAGAAGGGAGAGCTAGAGAGATAAAGCGATATGTATAAATGAATTTCCAACTTCCAACCCTTTACCTGGCTCCCATGGGGAGTATTTATAAGAGAAAAGCGGTTGGGCTTCCATGTTTGGGCCTGGAAGGCCCAATTACAATAAAAGACCAATAAATGGTTATTAAATGGTATTTAATCTATTCTAAAGGATATACATGAATAAATATAGTGTACAATAAAATAAATGCTATCTACTGAGCATATGTGGGCTGGTGTCCGGGCCCAATAGTCGTGAGACCCGGGGGGTCCGGGTCAATATACTCTATCAGGTCGGGAAAGGGAGTGGAGAGGTTTAAAATGTATAAAAAAATTCAAAAGAAGAGATCGCATTGGGACTGGAGCCGATCGGGGACCGGAAATATAAGTCGTGGTTCTAGACCTCCATTTTTTTATGAATTGACCGATCCATGACCAAACCGGCATGGCTGCGGTCATGTCAATCCCTAGATGCACATGATATCAAGAGAAGAGCAACATATACCCAACATCTAGAAATAAGTTTTGAGTTTGTGTTATGTTAAGACCTGGGGTTCCATCCTAAAAGGTCAACCTGATAGGAAAAGTATGCCAAAGTCTTATATAATATTTTATTGTTTTATAGCTTTTCGGTGTGAGACAAATACTTTAACATGCCCCCTCAGCCCAAACTGGTCTTGACAATATCGGGATATATAAATGGGTCAAACAGGCCCTTAACAAGCTACCCTTAATCATGGGTGCTAAACAAGCCGTTAAACCACAACCGAAATTGGATCTGATACCATGTTAAGACTCGGGTTCCATCCTAAAAGGTCAACTGATAGGAGTATCCCAAAGTCTTATATAGTGTATTATAGTTTTATAGCTTTCCGGTGTAGGACAAATATTTTAACATGTTAAGATGCATGCTAGCTAGCCTTTCTAAGATTGGGTAAATGTGTTATTAAAAAATTTAGACAACATTGCACTTAGGGCTGGGTCCGAAAAACCGAAAATCGAAAACCGAATCAAATTAAACCGAACAGCAACCAAATAAAACCAAACCGCTAAGAAACCGAAACCGAATGTAAAAAACCAAACCGAACCGAAGTTGTTCGGTTTAGTTTTGGTTTTTACCCTTCAAAACCGAACCGAACAAACCGAACTATTTAAAATATGAAATTTATATGTTAATTTTTAAGCATCAATTCTAATTAATCGTAATATCATCAATAGTATTTGGTTTTCTTGTGTTAGAGAAATAATGTTTGTGTTATGTTTAATTTAATTTAGTTTATAAATTCATTTACACATTCATTGTTTGTAATAATAGTTATATTGAATTATGATCATACTCCCTCCGTCCCTTATAACTTTGCCAACTTTCCTTTTTTGGATGTCCCATTAAGTTTGCCACTTTCCCATTTAAGTAAAGAATTTGTGGTTCCATTTAATTCTCTCTCCTATGCACAAACCTCAACCACACAGTTTTTATTTTATTAATCCCCGTGCCGGTCAAACTTGACAAAGTTATTAGGGACAGAGGGAGTATGTGTTTACTAGTTATTAGTAGTAATTAATTTTTATTTTTAGATAACTTAAAGTCTTAAAGATTATATATTGATAAAACAATAAATATTAATCTCAACTATATCACATAGAACATATATATTCATGAAAAATTTTCAAACTACTCACAAACAAATTAAATCAATAATATATACAGTTTTATCTATCTCGCATACTCATATAATTCAAGACATATTTATCTCTTCTCATTTTAATTTTATTTGTCGTTGTATTGTGCTTGAATTCTTTATGTAATATGTTTGATCCCTCTAAGTATTATATCAATTTTAAATCGATCAAGTGAAAAATTTTTGGTAAAAAAACCGAAAAAACCGAAACCGAACCGAAACAAACCGAACCAATCAAACCGTGGTTCCAAGTTTTGGAGTGTAAAACCGAACCGTAACCGAACCGAACTATTTACTTTGATTCTACATTTGGTTTTAGGTCAAAACCGAACCGCAAGAACCGAACACACCCCTAATTGCACTCATGTCATGAACCCATGTTTCCGTACTATTTGACATCTTTTAGAACATATTTTCTCTGTACCTTTTTAGGTGTTGCATATTCTTTTTTGTGAAGTATTTATCATTTGCTCACATTTATTTTGATTAGTTTTTTTTATTAAGACATCTTTATTTTTTTATTAAGACATCTTTATACTCCCACATTTTTACTTTTTACAAACTAGTTTCTCTCTTCTACTTTTTCATCACTCTCATCTATATAATCTGAACAATTCCAAAGTTTTTACACTTTTTGGCATACTCGCATGTGAACATAGATAATTTTTTATTTTTAATACGAATTGGCTATGTACAGACAAAATAGGTGGTGTACACAAAAGGTGTACACTATTTGCTACTTTTTCATCATAACACTAGTTTTTTTTATTGTAAACTCTCTATAACACTAGTTAGTCGTTAGATACTCCATAAAAGAATGTGATAGTTAAACTATTGTTGATATATATATATATATATGTGTGTGTGTGTATATATATATATATATATATGAGGTTAGAATAGTTTAATTCATAACAAAAGTGAAATATTATATTTTGGATAGTGGAAGAAAACATAAAACGAAATAAATAGATAAACATAAACCCAAAATGACGTTTTTCTAATCTTAAGCGAATTAAAAAACACATCCAAAGTAAAATTGTTTCGAGCACAATATCATCCTATTTTTCTTAAAACCATATACTTTTTTAAAATTGATTTTGCTTCAGTCTCCTTTTTAAAAGTAGAAACAAAATCAGAACCACTTTTTCAGAAACTGTTCTCTTCAAATTTTTAAAAACTCTCACTCCTATGAGCAACTTGAAGTAAGTTATTTATTTTCACTCAAACACCTTAATGTCTGTTTTTACTTCGGAAAGACAAAGAAGTTTGATGAATACGATGATTGCCGTGTTAGATCTTATTGCTCCGACTTACGGAGTACTTTTTTCTTCTAATGACCGATGGATACGATGCTAAATTATGGCCTCTTTTTCTCTAATTTGAAAAATTACACAAATAATACTACTTTAAATCTCTCTAACAAAAATATGACTAGTAATTAAAAGAACAAGGTGAATTCCCTACCATTCCTCCTAAAATGCCGTATATGATGGGTAGTTATGGCCACTTACTCACTTTTGTGTAAACCCAAACATGATTGATAATATTTGCGTAAAAAACTCAAACTTTAGAAACCTATTGAAGTTTGAGAAAATTGCTATAGGTTTAAAACATTGCAATGAAGGGAAATTTATTTCAATAAGACTAAGAGCCCGTTTGGTAGCACGAAAATCGGCTGATTCTACTGAAATTTATGAAGTTCTAGTTGAAGTGGCTGCATTGGCTGATTATGCTGATTTAGGAAAAAATTACTTTTAAAATATATTTTATTAATAAAATAAAGAAAAAGTTATATGTAAAAATAACTAAAATTGTCATCTACAGTAACTTCAGCCAATACAACCAGAAAAGTAACTCCAACCTTACTTTTTCTGCTTATTACACAATTCAGCGCGCGAAAACAAAAGTTATGTGTTTGGTAAAAAAGTTGGCTGATAAACCTGATAAGCAGAAAAACAGGGTTGCCAAACGGCCTCTAAAACATGATTTTTTTTCAAAATAGGACCAATTAGTGTAAACAATTTTAAATAAGACTAATTATCTATGAATGGACCAAAAATACACTCATTGCTGCCTGCCGCTGACCATCTGCTTCCGCTGCCGAACCGCCGCCGCCAGAAAAATTTAGGAATGTTTTTCTGGCGGTCTGCCAACGTTTCTGCCGACAACGGAATCCACCGCCACCACTGTCGCCGTGTGCCGCCATCACCTGACTGTCCCTCCACCAACGGACTGCCTTGGTTGTGCAAGAAAATTAGGGGAACAATTAATTGGGTTAATTAATTAATTGATTAAATTAGGGGTCAAAATGAAAATATTAGTCCTATTTAGAGAAAATCAACATTAAGTCATATTTTTTGAAGAAATCTGCTAGCTCCATCACAAATTGTTTTGCAAATTTGATTTTTTAGTCAAGTAGTTTCATTTTATTTGCTTAATTAGGATGCCAATTTTTAATTATAATCTAATTTCGAGTTTGCAAATTTGAAGAGATTTTAATATAATTTCTGAATATGTAAATTTTATTTATAAAAAAATTGAGTTAATTATCGATAGAGAAAATTTATTTTTATTTTGGTTATAACAATTTTCTCTACTATGAAGCCCTGGAGATTATAACCGTTAGTTGGGTTCGTTAATGTTTTTGTTGCGCGTCAGTTGGCCAAAGTTCACCCCATCCACAACCAAGGTACGGGATTTCTTGATCACCTTTGGAGTTCAGAATTCACATACATATTATTGTGTGATGTATTGGAGCATATAAAATGCCAGAATTCAAACCCGAGTTTCTCTCCCTCTCTCTCTTTCTGCTTTCAAACAATAATCATTATCTTCATACGCGAACGCAGCGTCATTTCTCTAGCACTCATCCTTCTCTGTTTCTCTGTTTTGCTTCAATAACAGGGGAGGGTGGATTTCGTGATGCGCAGATGCGTTTCATGAAACCATTCCCGTATCAATTTCGAATCACACTTTAGGCTGTCTTCGCCTTGGAAGGCTTTGTTATCCGACTTTCGAGCCATTCGCAATGACAATGGATGGCGGTAAGTTTTTCCTTTTATATTACTCTGGGATTTGTAAGGGAATGTGATTGAATAAGCTTTACATGCAGGCGAGGTGTTTGTCGAAATCCCTGAAATGGAAGAAGGGATGGAAAATACCCATAAAGATTCAATATTTGGAGAAGATCAAGAGAGGAAATATGGCGAGAATGATTCCTATGAGTCATCGCCGAGGGGAGTTCTGGAGATCCCATTGTCTACCTCGTCTGATTCTGATAATAGCAGCACATATATTACCGATAGTTTTGGAGAAGACAAGCCAGAGACGGCATACTCTCCCGGTGGCAGCCTAAAGGACCAGCTGTTAGACCCGTATGCCATGCAATGGAAGAATTTGTTTAGTTCCATTAAGAGAAAATCTGCCAGGAGTATCTCAATCATCCCTTTGCTTGGAGGTGTTGAGATGATTGCAAGAAAGAGTCGGAGGAAACTGTTGGGTAGCAACCGGATCTCCGAGGATTGTGGTGATTTCTTGATTCCCAAACCTTCATGGAGGAATTTTAGCCTCCGCGAGCTTGCAGATGCCACTGATAATTTTAGCCCTGGTAAGATCTACCGTACCATTCCCTCTCTACATGATTGCAATTTAGTTTACAAATTAAAAGATGAATTGAAGTGTTTTAGAATTGTCTATTGCTTAGGGGGTCATGTAGAAGTATACTACATTAGGGCTCCATTTTGTAGCCTATTTATTGAAATAACGAGCTTTTGAGTGTCTGAAATAGATATTGCTAAATGCTTTTCCTTTGAGATAATTCAACAGATAACCCTTTATTTGTTGCCAATCATTCATAACCCTAAAGGGCTTGTTTTTCTTATGAGCAGAGTACCCATAAAAATTAGAATAAGTAGCTTTGGACTTGCTTATTTAGCTGAAATTGATTTCACAAAATGCTTTCACTTTTCAGAAAGTTCAACATATTCGGCAATTTCATCAAAATAATGCTTTACCAGACGGGATTGTTGTTTGGTGCAGATAACTTGATTGGGAAAGGAGGGCATGCAGAAGTGTATAAGGGATGCCTTGCCAACGGTCAAACTGTTGCAGTCAAGAGGATAACGAAGCAAGATAAAAATGATGAGGACAGAGTTGGGGATTTCCTGTCTGAGTTAGGGATCCTTGCTCATGTAAATCACCCTAATGCTGCAAAGTTAATTGGTTTCAGTGCTGATAGTAGTTTACACCTTGTTCTCCAATATCTCCCTCATGGCAGTTTGGCTTCTGCTTTACACGGTGCTCATCCTCATCAGTGTTATGATTAGCTACATTTTCTCTTGAGTAGTTTTAGGCCGGTTTGATTAGCAAGTTTATGTCTTATTCTGTTTTTCAACTGAATAAGAAGCAGAATATACGTAACTTTTTATTTGGCTGAAATGAGTGTTACCAAATAGCCCTTAAGGACTTGCCAAACAGGACCTCAATCAACTTTTTTCCCACGGGGAAGAACTTTCGAAGAGAAAAGGAGTTGTAGATAAAGACCAAAATTAGATCTTATAAGTAAAAAGTAGTCATTGTCTATACTGTTTTACTTTCAAACTAGAACAGAGTCTTTCATGATCAGGTTCACAAGATTGTTTGGAATGGAAGGTGAGGTTAAATGTGGCTATTGGGGTAGCAGAAGGATTGCACTACCTTCATTCTGATTGTCACAGGCGCATAATCCACAGAGACATCACTGCTTCAAACATTTTGCTTACGGAGGATTTCGAACCTCAGGTTTTTTTATTGCAGCCTTTGTAGTTCTTTTGATATTATCATTATATTATTCAAAGAAAAGCCTATATATTAATACTAACTGTGCAGATATCAGATTTTGGACTGGCAAAATGGCTCCCAGAAAAATGGGTTAACCATGTTGTTTCCCCAATCGAAGGCACTTTCGGGTATGGGATATCTATGATCTTTTTCTTCAATATAAAAATGAAAACCTCGTATAAGATTTTGAGCTACTCATTACACTAGGTTCATTTGTTAGTATAGAATCCCCAAGCTTTAAATTTGTAATGCTGTCAAATCTTATAAGCTCAAGCGCATAAATTAACGTCAAGATTGGTCTCTTTGAATGATTGACCATCTTTTGGTGGACAACTCATTCCACACCAGCCCCGAAGTCTTAATACTGAACACACATTACATGTTAGATGTTACAAACACTAAAATACTAGCTTTTATAATAACAGATATATGGCTCCTGAATATTTCATGCATGGAATTGTTGATGAGAAGACTGATGTCTTCGCATTTGGGGTTTTGTTACTTGAGCTAATAACTGGTCGCCGTGCAGTTGACTCATCAAGGCAAAGTCTTGTGATTTGGGTATGTTGCTCACTAAATTCACTCTTGAGACTTTTTTAACTTGTCTCTTTGTAGTTGTTTTCTCGTAAATAAAAAACATGCCTTTGTGCAGCATATCCTAGAAAATTAGGCCTCGAGTATTGTGTCAAACTCACAGAGAAGGAATAAATTTTGTATTTACCAATTTCATATTTGATCCACATATTTGACTTTGACTACGTTGATACATCACTATTGTTTCTTGCTAACATGTGGTCATTTAATCTATATTTTTGGTGTTCAAAATCGCTGGAGAGGTGCCAAAATTTGGATGGAAGGACCGCGGATGGACAGTAAATAATAGTCATGTATCAAATGTAGACAAAGTCAAAGACACATATCAAATGTGGAAATAACTTAATAGTCATAGGATCAGTAGTTAAATTGATTTTTTCTCAACTGCCAGTAGTGGGATGTTTTTAATTTTTATTAATGAATAGGCAAAACCTCTGCTGGAGAAAAATGACATCAACGCAATAGTCGATCCTCGTTTAGAAGATGCATATGACGTCGAGGAAATGAAACGTGTCATGTCTGCAGCTGGAAACTGCATTCATCATGTTCCCGTTAACCGTCCCAACATGAATAAGGTTTGTAGGATTGCACGTTCCTAAGAATTTGTTTGGATCGAAGGGTTTGGAGGGTAAGACTTCGAAGGGTTTAATCTGTATCTTAATAAACAAAATATATTCCTTAAAACCAATAAAAAAAAATGATTGGTAATATTGTACTACTACATGCTATGTAATTGTGCAATCATTAGTATTTTATACGTAGTAATAAAATATCAAATATTTATCAATACATAGACTAAACCCTCCAAAGTCCAAAGCATTTCCCTTCCAATCGCCTCCAAAACCATCCCCCATCTAAGACCCTTAAAGTTCTTATGAAAATCCTAAGGTTTGGGCTCATGAATTTTTAATCTTTTAATTCATTCCATACCGGTCAAATTCAGAGATGCAAATGTACACTTAAGACCTTAAATGTTTCATCTACCAGGTTAGACATTTTAACATGAAATTGTAAGCCTATAATCAAAATGAAAATCGTATTGGAGTAACTGTGCAGGTTATTCAAATTCTGAAAGGTAAGAAGGAAGAAGTGGAAACGAAGCAGAATCTGATGGCTGGGAGATCATCATTTTCGGATTCTCTAGGCCTGGAAGACTACACATCAACAAGTTATCGTACAAATTTGAGTCGCCATATGGAGCTAGTCATGGAATGATTCTTACTTGCCCTTCTAACACCTTTGCTCCATGTATTGTATATATGATAATGATGAAGCTTCAATATGTGATTATGTGTGAGTGTGTTGTAGCACTAGTAGCTGAGGACAATAACTTTGGTGTTTGTCTATATGTATTGTTTGAATTTCTTTCAGTCGCTGCCTCCATTCATTGAGGGCTAGCAGCACAGAATGATACAGTAGGAAAGTCAAGTAGAGCATTTCGATCAATTTTATGTTTTGTTACATCCTATATATGCGAGAGGGCGGGGGATACAAATAAGACTTTTAAAAAAAGGAAATTGAGTGATTATATTAAAGTCCAAACAATTAACGACAATACAAACTTATCCTTTCGGATCAGCCTCCTACTACCGAACTCATCATAACCCAAAGGTCCTCTTGTACTCTGATTAGACATAGAAATGACCACTCTAATGAGAGCGGATTGAATTGCTAACCATGTGAGAGATTTGAAGATCATCTCAACTTCTGAGGCCATCTTACTTCTTCGAAAACAATACCTACCAACCTAAAAAACATAACCCAACCAATCCACAAAGGATCCACAAATAAAAATAAACAGGGAAAGACCGATAGTGCAATCCGCACTGCAGATGTCTACTTCCAGATCCTAGTCTTGAACCTCTTCCGAGGTGGCGGTTCCGGAGGGGGATGAATCATCCGCATACCGTCTTCTTCCTCCACCACCTGAGTCAACCGAACCACTCGCACCAAAACCTCAAACACCCAATTGGACTCTAACGCCCCTTTTGCCAAAATCCACACCGCCAATACTCCACTCGGGTCAAACATCACTGGTGTTAGCTTTCATCTCAAACACCATCAAAGCCAGAATAGCCAATCCAAGCATCAGAATATCAAGTCTCCCAACCCTCGCCGCCACTGGTCCGTAGTCAAGTATTGTTAACTGTGATATTATAAATGTAGAATTTTTACAACTTTGTAATTTTTAATATCTAATGATTAATTTGTCACTTAAGATTGTTAATTGTTTCCTAAAATGAAAATTGGGACCTTTATATGGAACATTCAAAAAAGAAAAGTGAGAACCTTCTAATGAGACAGGGAAATATAAATTTATAGTTTTTAATAAATTTATAAATCCAATCTAATCAAGTAGAATATGGGACTTGTGCAAAAGCAAAAAAGTTACTACTTTCGTCCATTTGTCCATTACTCCGTATAATTTTGGTAGCTTTTCTTTGTTATTGTTAAAAAAAATATCACCATTGTCTTCAATTAATTACGTTGTGGACCTTTTTGTTTTTATCTTCTCTACCCAAATTTTGGGGTGCACCACCAATAACCCAATGAGACTGGGGTACTGTTCTCAGTTCTCACCACTCCAACACCGTCTGCAGGTAATCCTTTTTCATTACATACTCCATATGTTATTAGTATGGGAATGGACATGATAATCCAATTAGGGGTTCTACTGTTCACAATCGGAATATTCTACGCCATGTACAATCTTCCCAGGCGAGCTTTCACCCGAACCCGGTTAAAAGACCGCTCCAACAACCAGGCTCACCACCATTTCATTCTGGGCGCCCAACTACTATCCAAAGCCCGATCCTCCCGGAGCAAGTCCGCTTCATTCAAGCTCGCCAAGGCCGCCGCCGGCGAGGCTGACAAAGTACTTACGCTCGACCCCAGGGACCCCGCCGCGCACATCCTAAAGGCCCTTGTACTGGACCTAATGGGCCACAAGGCCGCCGCGCTGAAATCTCTGGACACGGCGCTTTCTCCGCCGTCCGTAAGGGAGCTGTCGGATCGGGAAAGAGGGGACGCTCTGTTCAAGCGGGCGGAGTTGCAGGTGGCGCTTAATCGGAGGAGACGAGGGAGCTCTGCGGTGGCGGATCTCGAGCAGGCCGTGAAGCTGAGCGCGGACAATGCCGGCGCTTACTGTCTATTGGGCCGCTGTTATGAGATGGAGGGCCTGAAGGAGGAGGCTGAGAAGTCGTTCCGAAGTGCGTTGAGGATCGAACCTGAGTCGGTTGCAGCCCATGAAGGGTTGGGTCGCTTACGCCCATAATGTTTTTATGGGCTTAGATAGATTGTTAGTTGAGACTTGAGAAGATGACAGTTCAGCCATTTTCATTTTCACCATCACATATCTGTATTTTGAAGTACATTTTCCCTGTTTTGTAATTATACAAAGTAATATTTATATTAATACGGAGTATCTATCTACCCCATTTTTAAAAAAGTGCAATGTGTCCAGTGGCGGATCCAGGATTCGAAACTATTGGGGGCGGAGTAAGATAACCTACATAAAGGGAGTAGAATACAAAAAGACTCAATAAAATATATTCAAATCAAATATACTTGTAATAAGGTACTAGTATATAAGATTTTAAAATTAAATAGTACAAAGTATATCACAATAAATGAATAAAGTCAATCACAATGGCTCTTTTCAAGTTTTCATTTTTTGAAATAGATCCATTATAGTTTCATTTGTGATTGTTTCAAATATTTCTCTTTCTATAAAACAAACTACACGGTCACTAAAGAATTGATCACTGATTCTATTATATACGCCGATTATTAGTCTACTATCTTTATAGTTTCTCCGTTCTTTTGTAGTTTCAACGGTCAACCTTTGCACATTTGCCAACGCACACATTTGACCGTAAGTATATATCTTAATCTCTATTAATAAAAAATATTAAAAATGAGATTTTGAAAATTTGTAATGAGATGAATTGAAAAATATATTTTTAAAAAAAATTCATAAAATAATAGTGTAAAATGTAGTCAAAGTAGATCATGTGAATAGTGAAAAAAGTCAACATGTTGCAACTAAAAAGAGACGGAGGATAGTAGTAGAAAAGCATCTCCAATAGGTGGCGCGACAACCGACGAAGTCAAAACCAACTTTAAAGCAAACATGCCATCATTGGCTGATTATGCTGAAACTTATTAAGTTCTAACTGAAGTGGCCGGATTGGCTAATTCTGTTGATTTATAAAAAAAATTATATTTACAATATATTTTATTAATTAAATAAAGAAAGAATTATATGAAAAAATAGTTAAAATGATTCTATACAGTAACTTCATCCTATAAAGTCATTAAAGTAACTCCAACTTTAGTTTTTGTTATTATTACATCATTATGTGTTTGGTGAAAAAGTTGACTGCTTAGCTTGATATGCCGAAAAAAACAATACTCTGTATTTTACACATGAAATGGTTGACAGGTTATTTATCTGAAATAATTCTTTAATCCTAATGCCGGAGTACCATTTATAGCTACTCGTACTTTTTAACGTGAATTGTTATCTGATAATTTTAACTAACATTTTTATACATTGGGATAAATTTTACACATTAGGTTTTAACAACGTACAGATTATGCAAATAGTGAAATAGTGAAATAGGTTTAGAGAGAACCCTGCACTTGTTCTTCACTTCTGCGGTCTAGGCTCTAACGACTCAACTAGACAGCTACACCAGCTTATGGTCAGTTGAATCACTCTAATTTTAGGGATTTATTTGGGTTTGGGCATTGGGTTATACGGGCTTTGACTAGGCGTATAGGGCAATTATTTCTTTAATTGGGGGCATCTACTATTTTTAACCGGGGGCATTTATATGTGGTGAGATTTTTCCTTGTGAATTATAAAAAGCTAGTGGCTGTTTATTGGGGGCAGCTGCCCCCACTCTTACAAGTGTGTATCCGCCCCTGAATGTGTCGGATTTTGTAATATTTACATGTTTTACTTTTGAGTACGTTTTATTTATTATTGTATCATAATACTCTGTATTAATATAAATATTACTCTGTATACTTACAAAACTGGGAAAATGTACTTCAAAATACAGATATGTGATGATGAATAAACAAATACCATGATATGCCTCTTTAAAATAAGTAACTTGTGACTTACTCTGTATTACTTCCTCCGTTTTTTTGGTGAACGGTCAACATTGCACACTTGCCAACGCATATCTATGACTGCAATTATATCTTAATCCCTATTAGTAAAAAATATTTAAAAATTAGATTTTGAAAATTTGTAATAAGATGAATTGAACAATATAATTTTTAAAAAATAATTTTCATAAAATAATTATATAAAATGTAGTCAAAGTAGAACATGTGAATAGTGTAAAATTCAACATGTTGTGATTAAAAAGAGACGGAGGATAGTATTTATGTTTTCTCGTACAAATTTCAAAATATAGATTTAGGCTTTGTTTGCAACCACTTGTGCTTAAATAAAAGCACTCTTTGGAAAAAATGATTAGTAGTAAAAGTTTGTAGTGTTTGGTAAAATAAGTGCTTTATGTGTAATAGAAAAAGTAAAAAGTAGATTCTACACAAAAACCGAGATAGTAAAAGTTGGTAGTGTTTGGTAAAATAAGTATTTTTTTCTTAAAAAAACCAATAGCACTTATCAACAGAGATTGCAAACAAAGCCTTAATGGTATCAAGTATTGCAATAGTAAAAAGGGAAAAGGGGCAAAAATGACCCTAATGTTTTGTTGTAGGAGGAGATATGACCCTAAACTTTTTTTGGGTGAAATAACTTGGAAATCAAGTTTTTTTTTTGACAATTTAGGCACCTCCACTTACGGCACCGTTAGTTTTAATACGAGCCTAAGTAAATAAGGGGGTGTTTGGATCTGATTCTCAAAACTGATTCTGCTCCTTCAGGGAGCAGAAGGAGAAGCTGGAGTGTTTGGGTGAAATTCCAGAAGCACTTCTGAAGCTCTAATTTACTCTCAGAATCAGTTTTTTTAGAAGCTGGGAGGTACCAACTTCTGAAAACTGATTCTGATTCTACTTCTGCTTTTAAAAAAGAAGCAGAAGCAGAATCAGTTCCAAACACCCCTAAACCTGTTACAAGTTAAAAGTGAGTGGATTGTCTTCATCATCTTTAACAAAAAGGAGCCACAACGACGTAGCATGTTTTAAAGATTTTTAGGTCTTCAGTTCTTCACCAAACAAATAAGGTCAGACTGATGTCTTTTTTTGTTTTTTTTTGTTTTGTATTTGCTTCTTAAATCTGGATAGATTTATTATAGGATTTAAATTGATTTGTGGTTGGGATGAATCTCAATTCATATGGGGAAAATCACATTTTCAATATCTCATATGGTACACACATCAAAATGTAGTCCCTGTATCTTTTAGTTTGGAAATTTCACCTCCCGGGCTTAGTTGCATTAAGGATGTGATCATAACCATTAAAGATGTTT